CGAGTACGACGAACGTGAGGGGTGCTAATACCTTCCCCTTGCGTAACCGACTCCCGAACCCAGGTTTTGGTTGCGACGACCATACCTTTCCCGTTTTTTGCGAGGTTTACTTCGAGCGTTTCCTTTCCCTCCGTTGGGATAAATAACGCACGGTGGCGACTCTTCTGTCAGTCGGCGCCGATTTTCGCAGTAGCGACAGTGCTGTTACTGCATGCCAAGCTGTGTGGATTCTGAATCTGTTGCAGGATCGGAAGATTAAAGTAGACAAACCTCTGAAGTTGATGATTGACAACAAGTCTGCAATCAATCTTGCCAGAAACCCAGTGTTGCATGGGAGAAGCAAGCATATTGAGACCAAGTATCATTTTCTGAGACATCAAGTTCAGAGTGGAGTGTTAGAAGTTGTACACTGCAGCACTCAGAAGCAGTTGGCAGATGTTCTGACGAAAGCTGTCAAGACTGATCAATTTCTCAGACTAAGGGATGGAATTGGTGTTACAAGTTTTGATGGAATATGAATTAAGGGATGATATTAGAATATTAATAGTAATTCATATTTATTTAGTTGTACTATTTTCTTAGCCCCTAAGTTTGTTAGAGGGTATTTTAGTATTTTATCTTATTCTAGTAACCCTAGTTTTAGCTTATAAATAAGGTGACAATCATTGTAACTTTTATCATGTTTTTGTAACCGTCATTCTTAATAGAATATTTCCTTTGTTCATCATTTATTCACCTTTGCACCAACAATCTAATACAATTTTTGTTAAATTAGACTAATTTTTCTCTTTAATTTCTAAATCATCTTATTCAAAGGTAACATTACATAATCATTTATAACAGTTTCTGTGTATAAAAAAAAAATTTATAACAGTTTCTCCTGTGCGCCCGTACAAATTTTTTATTAGTGAATAGTAAAATAAGTAAAACTTTAAAATAATGCAACTCTTTAGATAAATTAAATAAAAATATGATGTTATACTAATATTGTTAAGGGTCATGCTAACAATGCCCTCATGGCACTAGTTAAAAATTTTAAATAAGAAAAATATGTTATATTTAATTCACTCAATACACACAATATTCTTTAAAAAGTCTGATTATTTTTCTTTTCAAGACATTGAATATATATATATTTAGAAAAAAAATGTATTTTCAATCTCTTAAATAATGCCTAACTTACCATTTAAATTTTTTAACCAATGCACCGAAGAAACTCGTTACTGTTAAATAACCAAAAAGAAAATCCTAGGCCGTTATACAAAGTGCCCTAAAAGTAACCGATATGGATATCTTTTGTGCACTATACTAAAGGCCACTTCAAATTTCATTTTCCCCGAATCAAAGCCAAAATCCCCCACCTCTTTCTCGTATCTTGGTGGCGCTCTCCTTCATAGCTATAGGTACATATTTCTTCTCTTTCTTTCTCGATTTTTCAATGTTATGTTCTCTACTTTTCAATTTGCATCGTGATTATACTATTATTGCTGCTAGTTGTTTTGTCCTTGTGTGAGTAGTATTGTATTAGCGTACTTGTATATGCAAAAGAAAGAAGAAAAAAATAGTTACTCGATTATGAAATTTCTTTGTGTATACCGTTAAGTTAAATGTAGGGAAAGTAGTTAACTTTGTTTGTACTAAGAATCCAGTGAAACCAACGGTGAAAATCCCTCAACAACACATCAATGAAAGGAGAATTAGCAGGAATGACCAACCTATCCTTGTAAAAGAGGACCCCTTCTTTCAACGCAAAAATCCGGCTTTGACCCGAAACACTCTTGAAGGGCGTCTATGATGGCATTAAAAGTTGGATCGCGCCTAACCTCCTCCTCTAACTCCTTACCCTACTGCCAAATAGGATAAGAAATTAGCGTTCTGACTTCTAAGTTCTCATGTTGTCGCGATGAGGTATCGGCTATGTTATTTTCAACTCCCGTCTTATGCACCACCTCAAAATCATAACCCAACTATTTAGCAGTTCACTCGTGTTGATTGGTCGGAGTGATCCGAATACTCAACAAGATTTTCCCCAAAAGGTAATGCCGCCAATGTTGAATGGCTAACACTGAAGGCATCAACTCCTAATCATTTGTTGATTTGGATAATTTAGGACCTGTAATTGCTTTGCTAAAGAATGCTATTGGAAACTTCAGCTGCATAAGCGCAACTCTGCATCACATTTAATCTCAAAGGGAATGTCAAAATCGGGCAAGGCTAACGGGCAGAAGTAACAGCCACTTTAAGCTGTTCCAAGCATTTGCAGCAGCCTTATTTCATAGAAATCCCTCCGTTTTTGTTAGCTCAATCACTGGTTTTGCAATTTTACCATAATTTGCAATGAACTTTCTATAATATTTGGTCAGCCTCTAAAATCCATTCACTCCTTCAACATTTTTAGGAGTAGGCCAATTAATGACACTATTCACCTTGTTTGGATCCACATGCTTTTGACCAAAGACACATTTTTGGTCATTAGCCAAAATTGATGTTGCTGTAGTTCAAATGAGCCCAATAATAGTTGCAACTCACCCTTTTGTTTCTTTGGCAAACTACTAATTTATCTCCTTGGTAGCAGACCAAAAAAAACCTGTCAGAAAAGACTCGTCAGTCGCAGCCCTTTGCAAAGTAGAAGGAATCCCAACACTATTGCAAGCCCATAGCTGAACTGGTTTCCCTTCATAAGCGAACATCATGGACGTTGTCCTCCAATCCATTGTGACACTATCTAATGTGATGGTGATTCCTCCTAACTCCAAGTGTCATGATACAGTGGCCGTCACCCAACCGAATTCCCAATGGCGTGGAGGGAACCATATTAACCCCAATGCTACAACCAAAGGAAACAAAGTTGTGTCGTTCTGCCGTCAATGAGGATAAGAACAGAGGCGTCGTTCAAAAACCCTTCCAACTTCATAGTGCGGACCCTAAACCTTATTGACTATCACAAGACACATCTAAAGTTTTACAGCCCAACTCTTCACCCTCTTTCACCTTTTTCAGAGTCAACATCAATAGCCACAATCTCACCTTCCTCATTTACGTGTTCATCGTCACCCAGAACAATCAAACGAAAATGATGTGTCACACTTGATGACAAGGGTGTCATTGTTCATTACAACGGAAACACAACCTATTCGATCGCTTCTCATGTAACTCTAAAAATGGTATGTATTTAACACCACTGGGACAGTCTGCTAGAATGAGGTGTATCTTCGTCAGTACTACCATGAAAACTCATCACAGAAGGAATGTGTCTAGAGGATTCTAAAGAAACAATGGAACCGGTAGGGAAATTGGACTTATTCAAACTCCAAGAGGATCCAGATTGTTGTGACCGGTATAGGGAGACTCATGTTGGGCTCCAATTTAATTTATTGGAGCAGGACAAGGTGGGTGTTAACTCGGTTTTGGAACGTGACCCGAATCCATGACTCAGATGAGTCTTCACAACATAATCTCTCCCCACATCCACATGCGAGTTGCATGGCCAAATAACAGTTGCGAGGTTTGTACATCCGGACTCTTGAACAAATATCGTTAGTTGCACATCCAAATAACGCTTGTGAGGTTTGAATGTCTGAAGTCTGAACTCATGAACAAATATCGTGGTGGAGACCAAACATGAAGTAACCCATAAATTGTTGCTCTAGTAAACGTCCACATTGAGAAGAGAAGAGCTCAAATTCAATGATGTAGTCATCAACAGGCCTGTTCTTCTTCAAATTCGAGTTCTTCTAAGGGATTGTGTCAAATTGACTCCCTCTGAATTGAGCCATCATTGCCGCCGTGAAATTTTCCCACGTCAAATCCTTTCACATGTTGAACCATTGGATGGTGGAACCATCCATTTTGAGCTTCGTCGATTGAATATGCACCTCAAATGTTTTGGACCTCAAAGTAGATCTTAGCTCGAGTTATCCAGGTGATGGGATCCTCTCCATTGAACACCGGTAACTCCACCTTCGCAAAGAGACGGAATTCGTCAAGGTTTGAATGAGACGACACACCACTACTCTGAGGAACTTCCTTTGATGCACACAGTTGATCTTAGCTATCAATACATCCCTCGGGCCATCAAGACTTAATTTCGGACGATCCAAACGATGCTCAACGACGTCCATTCTACCAGACATCTTCGGCGGCATGAAAAGGGAAGGTTAGACCAATTTGATAGAGCAGAAATATATACATCAAAATACGAGGTATGATAGAGAAGAGATGTATATCAAAATACAGCAAGGTATTGAATTATCAAGAAGGGATGAACAATCTGCAATTGCAGGTCAGAGTATCAGCTCCTCAGTAAGAAGAAAAGGTTTCTCTCGCTGCCTAACCGTATAAGGTTCTAATAATCTCATTCCTATCTCCTCCCTTCTTTTTCCTTGAGTAAACACTCCACACTTTGGCATTCTCCTTGTTGCAGCCCACCAACACATCTCCCTCTATTGGATTGGACCTAACCAGACTCCTATCAAGCTGGGACATTTGAATAAGTTTGAGAAAAAGGACTAACAGTTTAAAATCTAGTTACTAATATAATATACCAATAACTAACATTTGCTTATAAAAACTGCGGTTTTTGCCCTATCAATTGCATAGATATTAACAAGAGGCAAATTATTTTTTAATTTAGCATGGGTTAGAATTGTTGTTGTTTGAACAGTAATCTTTCAAGCAGCATTTTTCTTAGTCTGATTATGAGTGTTTTCTGTCTTTTATTTATGTATACTGTCGTGTTATTTGCTGCCTTTTTATGAATATATGTACACTTTTACTTGATTGTTTCTTAACCCTACTAACCAAGTTCAATCCTTGATTGATTTTGCGAATCATATTATTTGCTGCCTTTTTATGAATATATGTACACTTTTACTTTGTTCGACATTTATCTGCATTTAGTTATGTTAATGTTTGGATTTGATATTGAACCTTTTTACAGTTGTGATAGAAGTTTGACAACCAACTAAGCCAGTTAGCCAGCCAGTAACTATCTCTGCAAGATGTCGGCTGGACCTGGACTGGAATCCCTCGTAGATCGTAAGTGTTATGTAATATATTTCCTGTTTTTGACCTGGTAACCGGATCCACAGGTTAAGAAAAAAACGTGTAAAAAAGGTTAAGAAACAATAATCTCTTTTGATTGAAAAAATTGTAAAAAAAAGAAAAGAAATTATCTGCAATGCAAGACACCTGAGTTGGCCATAGGGTCAATTACAAACTAGTTTTATTAATTTGATCCCTTGAAAACTCAAACACCTAGTATCTTATCGAAGTATATCCCTTCTCAATGTGTTGAATACACAACTTTTACAAAAAACTTACGTTTTTAGACTTGTTAGCGATTGCTCTTGGGTAATTAATTAGCATTTGCAGACATTTAAAGGTAATGAAACCACTCAAACCAGTATTTCGTCAAATCTTACTTTATTAGAATGTGTTTTAAGCGATGGTTATCAATGTTTACTTTAACTAAAGCTTTTATTATTTTGGCAGAGACAATATCAGTCATTACAAATGATGGACGTAATATAGTGGTAAGCCTAGTGTAATCTGCATGAAATTAACTCTTGATTGCATGTAATTTTTAAATGCCCAACACTGTTGTAACTTTTAATTATGATGTTTTTCTATTAAGGGTGTCCTAAAAGGCTTTGACCAAGCAACAAATATAATTCTTGACGAGTCACATGAACGAGTTTATTCTACCAAGGTACAAATGAATGATATTCTGCATTTGTTTAAAATTTGATTTATGCATGACTTTGGTGACATAATATTTGCACATTTTATCAGATTCTTATGAGTTATATTTTGGCTTTGCTCGTTTTATCTGTCTTCTTTTTGTCGTCTCATTCTTGTTTCCGATGACAGGAAGGTGTCCAGCAGCTTGTTCTAGGTTTATACATAATTAGGGGTGACAACATGTATGCCGGTTTCTCAAATATATTTTCAACTTTATCAGTTTAGACTCTGGATACCCGTGTTTTAGAACCCTAATAACCCTTTTGATTTGGATTTTGCAGAAGTGTTGTTGGTGAACTGGACGAGGATCTAGATTCCAATCTAGATTTGTCCAAGCTTAGAGCCCATCCCTTGAAGCCCGTGATCCACTGAAGCAAACTTGTGTTAGTTGTTTAGGCTTTATACAAGCTGGGATTGTAGGGTAACATGTTATTTAAGTATATGCTTGGATTCATTTTTGTAAGATGTAATAGTAATTTTAGACACAGATTCACTCGTTGAATATAAAATGTTAAGTGTATGTCACTGCTTGCAATGGTGAGAAAAAATATCATTTCTTATATGTAAAAGCCATGATTTTATTAGCACAGATTTCGTTACCATCAGTTTTATTTTTTGACAGGTAGCATCAAAGATTCACCAATGAAAATGTAAATCAGTGATCGTTATTGTTCTCGGTGATTTTGATAAATAATCCTGAATGATTTTTCCAAACAATGATGACTTACAATTTTCTTGTACTTCAAAAACTCCCTGCGGGATGAAACGGAGTTATCAGGGACTATACTGGTGGATGAGTGTGGTCACACCAAATTTATGGGTCAACTTCGACCTTTTGACGGAGTTATGGTGTGTCTTGGAGGGATTAACCATTGTCAGAGTTCAGAACTTTTCTCAATTTCAATTGCAATTGAATATAACGAGCCTAATTAATAGACTAAAATTCTGAATATAAATTATTTATAATATTTTCTTTTAAACTAGGGAATGTCTTTTTTTAGAAACAATTTATATCAAGTTATTGTTGTTTAACTCTTTTAGTTTTCTTTTTTTGGAAAGATTAATTCATTCAAGAAGAAGAAAGGGAACTCCCTGTCAATGGGATAATGTCTCAGTCAAGTTTTTGATCCTATAAAGTGGTCTAGAGGATCATGTTGATCTAACAAAGATAACTCCCTATCAATGGGGGTAGTGTCTCAGTCAAGTTTTTATCCTACAAAGTGACCTAGGTTAATTAAGGATAAACACGTTTGTTCCATTTACAATTGAGATACAATCAAGTACAATCTTTAAAACTATTACATAGCATTAAGCAATCCAATACAATAGGCTCTAACACAGTTGAGAATTCAAGACCATTGATATAGTCGACCATAGTAAGCGCATATGAGAACACCAAAATTCTGTCAATTGCCAAATTCAAAGTCAATTTCAGAGTCCACCTAATTACCATAGCTTCTTCAATTGTTGGATGTATTTCAATTCTCTCACGCTTCGTGGAAGAAATGATAGTCCCCCCGTCCTTCCATGACAACACGCAAGCCATTACCATTATTCCATCCTGATAGCATCCTGAATCCACATGAATTAGAGAGTGGCCTCTATGGTAGCTCTGGATTTCTCCTGTTTCCACAAATTTCTTCCTAACTTTTAGGCTAGGGTTTGCCTCAAAAAAATTCATTCACCCTGTCAACTACATCCTCAGCAACCAAGGAAGGATTATAACTGCTTGTATTGAAAATTACTTGGTTTCTCCCCAACCAGATACTAAGCATAGTGTAACTGTTCTAGACTGGGCCAGAGGCTGACCCACCGTCGGGCACGGCCCAACCCAGTTCCTCGTCGGGGAGGGTCTAATGAAGCCCCAATCCACCAATGCATACAGGGAGCTCTCGTACGTCTCCCCCACGGTCTCCATGTGCTCCCCACGCTGGGGACACGTCATTAGGCAACTATCCACCTCTCGAAGGTCACGGGACAGTTGACTCAGGGCAAATACCACATGCCGATCTTCCCTAGGCCACGTAAGCCCTGTCAGTTACACGTATTGGGCCTAGCATTCCAATCCAGTGCAAATTAACCGTTGGCCCAACGTTGGGGGAACATAATAAATACCCTCTTTCACCAGAGGGTCAGGTATTTTGTTCTCTACACACTTTCTCTATGCTTGCTCTTTCTACTCTGTCTCTTACTTTGGCATCGGAGTACCTTGCAGGTACACCCCCTCCTCTTCTCCACCACCGGCGAATTAAAGAGCTCACGACGTGTTGCTGGCTGCTGATCCTTTTCTGATACGGTAAGATCAGTAACAGACTAGCTGGATCCCTTCAGCAACAGACAACCAGTGGTCTAACCAACTAAAAGTATCAGTGTTAGGTGAGCTACGCAAGCTTAGGGAGAACACAACCAAACAAGCTTAAGGAGCTTACAATGTGTTGCTGGCTGCTGATCCTTTTCTGATACGGTAAGATCAGTAACAGACTAGCTGGATCCCATAAGGGTCAGCAACAGACAACCAGTGGTCTAACCAACTAAAAGTATTAGTGTTAGGTGAGCTACGCAAGCTTAAGGGAGAACACAACCAAACAACCTTAAGGAGCTTACGACGTGTTGCTGACTGCTGATCCTTTTCTGATTCGGTAAGATCAGTGGTGCCTTCTGTGGGAAACTTGCTTCCCTGTTCTTCCTTCCAAAAAAATCCAAGAATCAAAGCATACCTCAACCTCCATTGATCATGGTCAGCCCACGCAATGACGACAACGTCCATGAAACCTCCTTCACCCCGCTCACCAACGATGAGGATCACGATCTCAACGTGACCGTTCACGTCGAAGAAGGCAGCGCCAGAAACGGGCACACCGCCTCACCCTCCCCCGATGATGTGACCTTCAACGCCACCCGACGGCTTGAAAGCCCAATTGTCTTCCAACCAATCCCTGTGTCGCCCAACACCGACCCGACCATGGTGGCTTTGTCCACGGAAATCAATCCGACAAACCTGATGATCTTCCAATAGAACGAGCGAATCAGAATAATAGAAAAGGACCGACAATCACGCTCTTCCCTGTGGAGACATCGTCGCCCGGTTTCTCACAGCCCGTCCCCGCGACGACGAGAAATCTGTTCTTCACCTCCCCCGTGGAGGCTGCAACATGATGAGTCTCAAAGTCCTTCTCCACGAAAAGTCGGGCGTCATCCGCGACTGGAAAGGCCTCAGCCCGTGGCTGCCCAGAAGCATGACCGTTCTCCTCCCCAGAAGGAGCGACGTTTCCCAACTCCCAAGAGAAACAGAGTTGACGGGCCGACTGGAAAGCCGAAGAGTCGCCCGAGGATCCTTTCATGCCGCGGCAGGAGCCCTCAGTACGACCTTTCCCCCTCACAATCAAACATCAGGAGCGACGAGGACGACCCCCGAACTCCGCTTTCCAGGGCTATCATGGAGACTCGCCTCCCTGTCAGGATGGAGAAACCCCCGACCCTGGCTACCTACGATGGTACGACCGACCCGGACGACCACATTGAAAGCATCGATGTGATGCTCGACTATAGGAATGTCCCGAGAGCCATCAGGTGCAGGCTCTTTCCCACGACCTTGAGGAAAGGCGCGATGGTGTGGTATAGAAGCCTCGAGCCCGAGTCCATCACCTCCTGGAGAGAGCTGAAGAGGCAGTTCTCCAGAAACTTCACCGCTTCCCAAAGACGGAAGCATCCTTGGAGGCCATCATCCAGGGGAAAGACGAATCTCTTCGGGACTATATAGAAAGATTCAATCGAGAAGTTGTAAAAGTGTCCACCTCGGACGACATGAAGAGGTATCTGATTGAATGAGGACTGCGACCTCGTACGAAGTTTACCAAGGTCGTCGGCATTAAAAGGTCTAACATGCTAGACACATTCCTCCACAAGGCCCAAGCATACATCCAGTACGAGGAAAAGGAGGCCACCAACTGCACCCGCGACTCGCAGAACTAGGAGAGTGCTAGAAATTTCAGGCATGAAGACCCCACTGCTCCCCGACGAGGCAGCGAGAGAAGGAGAGAATATCGGCCCCAGGACTCCCAGGAACAAAGGGGACCAGCTGGACGATTCACCGAGTACACGCTACTCACAGCTCTCCGCGAGCGCATTCTGGTCGAGTGCATAAACTCGGAGTTCCAAATAGGTGGTTTCCGCTTCCTTAAGCCCAACGTCGACAAGTTCAAGTACTGCCGGTTCCACCGGAGCCATGGACACGTCACGGAAGATTGCATCCACCTCAAGGATGCCATCAAAATCCTAATCAGGTAAGGGCATCTAAAACAAAAAAATAGAAGGAAATAGGCTTCTCGACATGAAACTCACGAGGCAAAAAGGGTCGAGGAGGTGCCACCACCTTCCGACGAGATCGGACTGCAAGTCGCCTTGTGCTGAAAAAGTTGTAAAAGACCTTTTAGAGGCAAATTTTATTTTAGAAGCCCGGTACACAACCTGGCTATCTAACATTGTATTAGTTAAAAAGTCTAATGGAAAATGGAGAATGTGCATTGATTATAGCGATCTTAATCGGGCATGTCCCAAAGATGCATATCCATTACTTAACATCGACAATCTAGTCGACAATTTTGCAGGTTTTAAACTACTGTCGTTCATGGACTCCTACTCGGGGTAAAACCAAATCCCCAAGGCAAAAGCCGACAAACAGCACATGGATTTCATGACCGAGTCAGGCAATTATTACTACAACGTAATGTTCTTCGATCTGAAAAATACCAGCGCAACCTATCAACGAATTATGAACAAAGTCTTTCGGGGCGAGATTGGTGACACGCTCGAGGTCTACATGGACGACATGATCGTGAAATCACGAGAAGAAATTGACCACACTTCCCATCTCAGAAGGATCTTCGATACAACGAGGAGATGCAAAATGAGATTCAACCCGGAGAAGTGCACCTTCGGCATCTGAGCAGGTAAGTTCCTCGGCTTCTACTTGACAGAGAGAGGATGCTCGCCTCTTTGTCCCGCTTCATGGCCAAGTCTGTCCAACACGCTCTCCCATTTTTCAAGCTTCTGCGCAAGAAGGCCACGTTTGAGTGGGCCGAGGAGTGCGAACAAGCCCTCCTCCACCTCAAACAAGTCCTCTCAGAACCCCCAATTCTGTCGCGACCTGAGGACGGCGAGACTCTCTATTTGTACCACTCCGTCTTAATTGAAGTTGTCAATGCGATCCTCATCCGTGAAACCCCCGAGGGGAAAAAGCCAATCTACTTCACCGACAAATCCCTGTAGGGCCCTGGGCTCAGGTACCAGCAGAAGGCTACGATACTACTTCATGGCCCATACGATCGTGGTCAAGACATATCAGCCTATAAAACAGTTACTCAGACGCCCCA